TCCCAAAGATACCGTAGAATCCACCTTATGCACACTTCCCCCTCTCACCCTCATCATACAACCTAGAGGAGATAGTTATCAACGATAAGGAACCCAGCACGAACCCTTACTGCCCCTGCATGCCTGTGAAAAACAACAGATGAGAAATACGGGCGGTTTAATTCATTTCCACAACGTGAATTTTGGTGTGTGTGTGTGTGTGTGGGCATTGTTATATGCGATTTATGTTTTATGTAGAGTGTAGACGCCTCCGAGTCTAATGGGCGCCGATATGGACAGTCGCTATATTATGACATTGACACTGATGCGCACTTTGGGACGCAGTCGCTTTTAAAGCATGAGTGACCTTGTTTCCTCGTCGTCAACTGTTTTACCCTCATTTCAATCGTTTTGGCAGATGGAATGAGCTGGCCATTAGAGCGGTCACCTGTCATTGAGTTTCCAATGCCTTGACTTGTGCTCTTTCAGAAGTAGAAGGAGCTATTGTTGACACAAGAAGTTGGTGCACCTGACGTTTCTGATTCCCACTCGAATCCATCATCAGAAGCAGTCGCAGATAAGGGCGGCGATGAAAGCGGATGCTGCAGTTTATCCTAAGCCTGTGATTGAACGACATTTTTGCGCACATTGGGCTTCCTCTGTCCTTATCTGCCACTGTCTAGTAATGCGTTAAAATGAGAATCTGGAACGTCCAGCCAATAAACGTCTTGTTCCAGTGGTCTCATTTTCCCCTTCTGAGCTGCTTCCGGCAACTCGCCTATTCACCAAATCTTCACACCCGTCGTCGAGGCACTTTGTTGCGATGTACAGTAGATGTGCTTTTCCACGAAATGTTAGTTGAAATTCTGAACTGCGTTTTTCGCTCGAAGAGATTATTCAAGTGGGATGGTAATAGTAATTTCCGTGCAGCATAATTCCAGGGTATTTCAGTCACATCAGAATGCCGGGTTTTGAACAAACGTTTTCCGTGTACGGAAAATCATACATTTTTACATAGTATTAAGAGAAGACCATATGAGGTTCATAAAATTTGACAGCGGATTCGAGCCATATTGAAAACTTTACAAGCAACATTAGAAAATGCAGAGACACGATGTTTTATAAACAAGCATTTCACGGCCTTAAAACTCTTATAATTAGAAAATTTAAACCCGATTGTACTTTCTTCCCAGTGTAAAATTTGAAGAAGATACACTTTTCTACGAAAAAAGTGAACGAATGTTTATTTTTATGCATGTTATCGACGGAAAATATTTGAATTTATAAGGACATCGAAAATCAATGAGATAAAGCCATGCTAATTATGTATTATTTTTTTACGGAGTGTAGTATTGCGGCCGACAGGAGAAAAGTTCGCTCAAAATCCGGCATGCTGAGGCAGTTAAATCATTATGGTGCTTAATGCTAAACCCCTACTAAAGTATTTTTTCGAATGAAAGAATCATTTTGGAATTTCGGTTAACATTTTACGAGTTGGCACGCCCACTATAGGAGTGAGAGTGCACAGGAAACCCAAGAGACGGGATTTTTTTTACGTCAGCAAGAAGTATTTTAGAAAGCTGAGCCTGCCAATGACGCCCAGACTCTCAGCTCGAAGACTGCGGGTAGTGCGGGCGGTGCACAAAATGTCTAAAGTTACCCGAGCAACTTTTGACAGTTATAGGTTGTATTGTTCCCCAGGAAGTAATTAGTCCTGCGCATGTGATGGGTCTAACAGGTCTAGGAGCATTCATTCGGATCAGGTGTTGAAAACCATGTTTACACGATTTTCGGTGTAGGGGGCACCTTTGATACCCGTTTATTCGCGACCCAGTGAAGGGACGGATCTCGACGCTGTTTCCTCCGTCGGATTAATGTAAGGAGGATGTGCGTCATCTGACTGGCATGATGTCTCCAAGATCTTTTAGGCCTTTATTGGGGCTGTGGTTTTGCTCGCAGACCGGAAGCAAGCCAAGGAACTTCCCAAACATAAAGAAGCCCGATAGGTACAGTAGGTGGGCTAATGTATGAATTTTCAACCGCAATTCCCAAATGCGTTTCTGTTTCCAAAAGACTAATTACGTAGGGTTGTAAAACTAACCAATCTGCAGTACAATACTGTAACAATTCAGTTACCTCAGGATGCTGTTTTTCAAAAGAACTTCCTTCCGGCTGCATGCAAAAACTACACTCTGCAAAAAGTGACTACTCAAGTGGCATGCATTTTCCCATTGATTTTCGATGCCCTTAAAAGTCCCATTATATTTCATGGAAAACATAAATAAATATATTCGTTTCTCCGCTCCTTTGGTATAACATTACGTCTTCTTCCAATTTTATACTCGTAGGAATGGTGTTATTCGGCTTTCAAAAACTTTTCTAATTCCCGAATAATTTTGAACCCTCTCTGCCGTTACGCTTGCATTCAGGGTTTACAAACTACAAGCCATGTATTTTCCGCGTACGGAAGACCACACATTTCTCTACGTTATTGAGAGGGGACCATATGGGATTCATAAAATTTAGTATTGGATTTGATCCATATTGTTAACTTTACAAGCCACGTTAGTAAATGGAGACATATGACGTTTTATGAACGGTCATTTCACGGTATTTAAAAGTCTCTTAATTGGTAACTTTTTTTAATCCGAATTATGTCCCTCCATCGAGTATACACTTGGAAGAAGACGTAATTTACTACCGAATAAGCAAAATAATGAATATTTTTATGCATATTTTTCATGAAATATAATTAAATTTTTAGGGCTTTCAAGATCAATATGCAAAATGCATGCTATGAAGTGGTCATTTTTACAGAGTATATTTTTTGCATACAGCCGGAAAGAAGTTCATACTAAGGCCGGCATTCAGAGGCAACTGAATTGTTATAGAATTATGCTGCAAGGTGATTAGTTTTACGACCCTTCTTATTGATCATTTTGTAAGGGAAACGTGTTTCCGAATCTCGGTTTGCATTTCATGATTTAGCCAACCTACTGTAGATCCAGACCCCTGTGTCATGTGAGTACAGGTTGAAAACCGATGCAGAATCCGGATGGGGCAGAAACAAGGGGCTGTGTTTTGTGTACATCAACAAGGTTTAACGGACAGACTGGAAAACAAAAGCTGGCAGAAGAAAATGAAAATGGATCGATCAGCAGATACAATTTGCGTTAACATCCTGCGAGCATTTTGGAAGTGCTCCACACGTGCGATTTCAACCCGAATCGCGTCAAATTTGTTGAAATTTAGCAAGCTGTAGAAACTACTACTCGACTTTCTCGCCGGGGCGCATCAACATGCGTCTATTAAGAACGGCAAACCCTTATGGGTAACAACTCCCAGGGGAATTCCACGGAGAGCTGTTAAGACCAAAATCCTATTTTCTCCATGCGCAATCGATCACTCACAAACGGATGGGATTGTATGGCGACAATGATGACCGGTTATCTCAAGCTTTGGTGAGGAGCCGAAGAACCGTCAAATATGCAATTGCAGAATTGCAGTGTATCTGGTAAACCCTAAACTTCAATTTCAGCAAATTCCACATTATTTGCCAGTAACTGTCAAGGTCTGTCAAAGGAAGTTAGCTTGCGAGCTAAGGGGTTAGGGCGTGTGAATAAGTCCCACGCTACACAGCTGATGCACCATTGTGATCTTTAAAACCCCGAATAATTAGAATTGTATTCTTTGGTTTGACGGTTCTTTATGTTATTCAAACAGCGAAAAACTGAGGCTTTGTCGCAAAATGACAGTAAAAGGTATTCATCTTGATACGTAAGCAGCCTCCTACTCCCAATAAATTGCCGAACACTGAAGAAAACGACCTAGTCGAGCAGCCTAAATGAAAGTTTTTATGCATTTGAAAGAGAATTTTACTGATTTTCGGGGCAGATATGGTTATGTAGCCCCACCTAAAGTGGACAACTCTCAACAACCTGTACTACGGGACCGGCGGTAATAGGGGTTTATACAGGTGGGGCCGGGGAACGCAAGGGCGACGAGGTCAAGTACTTGTATGCAAAAGAAAAGCTATTGCGAATGCGCGGTTGTACTTTGAGTGGTCGATAAATAATTTCCTAACTCCTAACTCTGACCCCTAACTATAACCCCTAGCCCGAAACCCTAAACCTAACCCTAACTCCAACAGCGATGTGTCCATCAGGTGGGGATACATAACTACATCTTACCAATTTTCGTCTGAGAACGCTATGTACAGGCTGCATTTACAATTAGAAAAGTCAATCCCACTACTATATATGAGTATAAGGAAGTAAATGCAATCGCTGAAAAAAGTGCTTTGTTCGTCCGACGTTTAAAATTCATACTCTAACCCAGTCGTCAGATAAGGGTACTTCATGTACAAGACGTTGCAGTGTTTACCGGATACAGTCGCTATGCTACTGCACACTTATGAAAATTACTGGCTCCCCCTTATGCAGTGACGGTTGCGTTTTCTGCGACAGTCATTTTATTCCCCACGTTTGAGTCGTTATTCTTTGCAACCAAATCACAAATGTTGGACGTTAGTGTGATGACTACTTGACCAGCTGACTCACCGACAGAGCCGTCGTAAACGATGTCCGCCTGCGTACAAATTAAACTGTCTCAGCTACGAATTTGGAGGGACAAGGTCACCGCTCTTCTTAATATACCGGGAGTCAGTGAACCACGACTCAACCAGCTTTTGGCTCACGTGATTACCACCCCTCCCGAGAATTTCGGCCTTGTCGAAATTGTAGGCGCGGCCAGGTTCCGTCGAATGAGTTGCGGCCTGGAAACGCGCTAATTATTCCCACTGATGCCACATGTTCGGCTATTCGCATCCGGCGCAGTTTTCCAGGTGTGCACCAGTTTGTCGTTCTTGGATGACATTGGAGCAGGCAGCTTACGAAATTTGCTCTCTAGTCGTCTGTCGCTTCCGTCTGGCTGAGGATTGATTCCACTGCTGCGAACATGTTGGCTGTTTTGTCATCGGCTGTGTTGAATGAGGCCTCATGCCGTAAAACCTGCCTGCTCCAATGTCATCCAAGAACGACAAACTGGTGCACAACTTGTCGTCAAAGGAGCTGACGGAGGAACAAATGCAGGTTTTACGGCATAAGGCCTCATTCAACACAGCCGATGCCAAACCTGCCAACACGTTCGCAACATGTTCAATCCTCAGCTCGACGAGAGCGACAGACGAAACGAAGAACCCCATTCGACACCAAGCGTCCTCCCTCCTCATGGCTCATAGGCCGCGCGACGTGCTTTCCAAGGTCGAGCGCGATGCACTTATGGAACTCAGGGCCGACAACGACCTCGTAATGGTGCCTGCGGGAAAGGGGCGTTCAACGGTCGTATTGGACAGGACAGACTACAATCAAAAAGCCAAAAGCCTATTGGAGGATCGTCAGTCCTATGTCCCATGCGAATCCAACCCCATAAAACGCTGACACGCGAGACTAACGCGACGCTGTTGGCAATGGAGAACTCTGGTGCAATATCGCCAATCGACCGACGCATGGCGAGAGCACAAGAAACGGCCCTAGCCCGATTCTACGGTCTCCCAAACGTGCATAAAGGGGGCGCTCCTCTCCGGCCTATCGTATAAGTAAAGGGCACTCTAACCTACGGATTGGCAAAGTGCCTGTTCCATCGTCTCAAGTTTCTGACCTCCGATTCGAACACTACAGTCAGCTCGTCAACGCAATTCTTGGAGAAACTTAAAGGAGTAAGTCTCCTGCCAAGCGATGCCATGATCTCCTTTGATCTCATGTCCCTTTTTAGTTCTATCCCGCAGGACCTGGTAGTCGAGACCGTCGACCTACTCCTACGAGAGAAATACGACGAAACGGAGAATCACCTCGCACACGCCTAAATCATCCAGCTCCTGAAGTTCTGTATCAAGACGTACTTTACGTTCGACGGAACAATCTACGAGCAGGTGAAGGGAACGCCAATGGGTTTGCCGATTTCGGGACTCATAGCCGAGGTGGTCCTACAACGGCTGGAGTCGCTGGTTTTCCGACACCACAGATCGAAATTCTGGGCTCGGTATGTGGATGTCACCTTCGTCGTCATCGAACGGGATCAGGTGAGGACATTCAAAGAACATCTCAACGCCGTCTTCCTGGACATGCAATTTACGATGGAGGAGGAGGAAAACAATCAGCTGGCCTTCCTGGATGTCCTCGTCTGCCGCAAAGATTGTGGTGGCCTTAAAACCAAAGTGTTCAGGAAAGCGACAAATACGACGCAAATACTGAACATCAATAGAAACCACCTGATTAGTCGCAAACGCAGTCGCGTAAGGGCGCTATACCGGCGCGTTGAGACGCACTGCAGTGAAATGGAAGACAAGATTGCTGAATTACAATATCTTCGACGGGTAATGAGAGCCAATGGTTATCCACGCAACTTTGTCAACCAGTGCATACGAAAAAGACACCAGAGACCAAATCCAACCGGCCTCAAATTTTGGCGAGCTCTTCCGTACGTGAAGAACGTCTCGGAAGCCGTCAGTCGTCTTCTCACGCCATTTGGAGTTGGGGTTGCACACAGGCCGGAAGCAACCATTAGATGCCAAGTCAGGAGGCCTAAATATCCGCTGTCACGGCAGGAAACGTCTGGAGTCGTTTACCGGATATGAAGCAATTGCGCACAAAGCAACTATGTCGGAGAAACTGGGAGATTACTCCGTACGCGAACTGCCCAGCACGCAGCAGCAGTGAGGCGGGGAGACGCTAACTCTCAGGTGGCGGCACACTCGACGGAACCCGGCCATATTTTCAAATTTCAGGAGGCCGAAATCCTCGCAAGGGGTGAGAACCGCGTGAGCCGCGAGCTGCTCGAGACATGGTTCTCAGGCCCGCAATCCATCAACAAGCACAATGACCTCCCGGCGCCATTTCCCTGGGCAGGAGAATCAGTCACGTGGGGAGGGCGCGGGCGAACAATTATCACACTGACAGTGAGCCAGTTAGCCGAGCCATCGTCCCACCAGCATCCAGCACGGATGAAGAAATCACGGCCATTAACGACTCGGACTCGAATCGATAAGCCTCAACCGCATCAATTATGACCCAAGTGGTGATTGCGAGAACTGTTAATTGCAGTGCGCATACGGTCCACGACAGCCACGTGCTATAAATACTGCACGCCTGGTGCCACCGTCACGTTTATCTGCGCGTCTCTGATGATGGATTCGAGTGAGAATCCGAAATGTCAGGCAAATAAATTTCTTGTTGCAGCGATCTCATTTTCATCTTCTGAACTGCTACCTGAAACTCGCCTGTTCGCTTCTATCAGAAATCTCACAATTATAAACTTTTTGGAAACCGAATTATACCCTACCTTTGCGTGTAAAATTGGAAGAGGTAATTTTCTATCGAATGAGTAAAATAGTAAATATTTTTATGCATGTTTTCCATGAGCTATAATTGAATTACTGAGGGTATAGAAAATCAATAAGAGAAATACATGCTGCTTAAATAGTGGCTTTTTACGAAGTATAGTTTTTGTTTGCGACCAGGAAGTAGTTCGTTTCAAAGCCGGCATTTTGAGGTCACTGGATCATTATGATATTATGCTGCATGATGATTAGTTTTAAAACCCTACTTAATTAATCTTTTTCGAAACGAAAACGCCTTTCGGGATTTTGGTAGAAATTTTATGCGTTAACCCACGTACTGTACACCAAATTCGATAAACGACTCCAGGCGTTTTTTGTCGACGTCGTGGGGTCTTTTCGACTCATTACCTGGCGCCTGCTGGTTACCTCCTGTGTGTCACTACGACTCCAAGTTGTTCAAGAATGTGTTTGACGGTCCCTGTGACCTTCTTGACGTGAGCGAGCGATCGTCAAACTTTGCTGTCTGTGCAATTTTGTCTCTCGCCTCGTGTGCGTAAGCATCGGTTGGCGAAACTGAGCACCAATCGAAGATATTGTAATTTGGCGACTTTGCCTCCCAGTTCACAGCAGTGTGTCTCAGCACGCCTTACGCCGTTGACTGCACTCACCTTCAACTACCGAGGACTCTGTTTATCATTCCAGATTTATTCTGAACTGTACTGGTAAAACGGATGCCTCCCCTCCTGTTATTTAGAGATACTGATCCATCGATTACAACCAGAATAGATAGATGCAAGTTAGTCTCACATAAAGCAATGACTCCTAACTTCATCCGGTATGATGCGAGCCCGCTAGTGCAATGATAAGTGCTTGTGGTTATTAATCTCCTCAGCAGTTAGAGTTTTATTTTGACGAAAATCCGTCGAAATGAAGTGTTACAGGCTCATCCCGAGAGGTAGCTACTACCTGAGCTGCCAGTATGATAAAGCGTGCACCAAAATTGAGAGTGCTTCCCGATTATCAGCTGACTCCTTGCCCGAATCCCGAGTGTGCGGTCGGATTGCGAATCGGAACAGGAATTCGAAATATAATTGGTGACCAGTGGATCCGCTGGATGAGTGACAGATAACAGAGTTGCCTGCAGGTTTATTTCGGTAACTGAGGCCTCAAAAATTTCCGGAATTTAAAAAGTGAGGAATAAACAATTAAAGCAAAGGATAGTTACAGAAAAGCGAAGGATTGGGAGTCACTGGGATGGCTGTTTATAACGAGCAAAAACAGAAAGGCCGATAGATGAGACAAAAATATCATTCGTCTGACGTTTTGGGCCGACACTGCCATTCACCATCTCAGAAACGAGGCAGATAAATATTGAGGACTCACAGATGTACGTAACCTGTCGTTAAAGAAGTTGACAGAAAAACAGTTGTAGGTGTGAAGACGTTAAGTACTATTCATGGCAACCGATGTCAAAACTGTCAACATGACTACAACTAAGGTGAAGGACGAGATGAAAAGCTACGTCAAGCACCAAGTGACTTTACCTCTCACGACTGAAAGTCTGAGCTAGGAACTTTCAGAATTAAAACGCGAAACAGAGGAAATTTAAGGCCGACAAGGAGATAGGTAACATGCCCGTGGACGAAGTACGTTCTATTAGGCAGGACAAGCAAAACGTTTACTAGACACTTGTTATTTATACGTCCCCAGGGGAGAGAGATACGCTTTATCTTAGAAGCATAATTCCGAAATTTTCAGCAAAGTGGCCTCCATTTACGATGGATGAAAAGGGTACGCAAAACAGCTAAAAGAAAAGATCACAAGCGATATTTAATGGATGAAAACTTAAATTGTTGACACTACGAAGAATCACCGGTGAACGAGTTGTGAAATCCGCGTCAAATTTCACTTCCTTTAAAACGGTGATAGCGCAGTATGCAGATGACCTCATGATTGTAGTTTAGATAAACAAAGATCCAAAAAAAAACCGATACATTATGAGTAAATAGGTCAAACGGTGTGAAAATAAAAAAAATCCCCATGTAAATGGAGAGTAGAAAAAAATGCCATCTCAATTTCAAAAGTCCGTATTAAAATGTCAAAAAGAGAAATTAATGCGGCGTTGTCGGCAGAGGTGAACTCAAGGGCAAAATCGAAGACCGATCTGCAAATAACGAGAGCCCAAGAAACGACTTTAACCCTCTAATGCGACCCATCGAAGGCGTAAAAACGGAGTGCTCGCCATAAGCTCATCGTTACCTCAACGTTACCGCAAAATACGGGCACGCAGAGTAATTTTCAAATTTTCGTCTATCCCGTCAAACAAGTTCGTAATATATTTCGACGTCAAATCTCCCTTTACTTCTGGTATTCCGGGTCTGGCGTTCGAGAGCATCGGACCACTCATCTAAAGCAAGGGTGAAGAAACAGAAATTCACCTTGAAAACGCCCAATCCCTGAATTTCGATCCACAGACAGAGTGCGTGACCGATCTCGTGAAATGTTGGCCGAAATTCTGGAATGCGTTTCCGATTAGGAAGGATTACTTATGTGGGGTCGTTATACTGATTATCTTGCAGAATAACCCTGTAACATTTTTGACTTTCCAGGATTTCGGCTTTTGAATGCACTTCTTTTTGACTTCCTGCAGAAACCACACCCGGTGGAACAGGACTACTTATGAAGCATTTATTTTTCCTATTGATTTTCGATGGTCTTATAAATTCAAATATATCAGAAGAAACAACGATCGCTGGAACAAGGTCTTTATTCGCCTGACGTTTCGGATTCTCACTTGAATCCATCATCAGAGACAGTAGCAGAACAGGCGCAAAAATAAGCTTTCTTTTGCTCATCTGGTAGAAACTCACATTGTCATTATATTTTATGCGCGAAGAGTGTATATTTTGGTTTTAAGAAAGTTTCTGATTATGGAATATTTAAGACCGTGCAGTGTCCATGCATGCAAGACCGCACATGTCCGTTCACTAATGCTCCTCATGAAATGTACAACATAGTCCGGATGCATTGCAAAATTTAATGAATTCTATATCGTTTCTTCTTTAAGGTATAGGGGAATGTATGATTTTCCTTACGCGGAAA